AATGAAACTTGTATTTTAAATGATTGTTTTGTATTTGAGATTATTCAAATCACTGTAACCAGGCACCCCTTACTATAGCAGCCTTCTGATGTAGGCCTCCATATAAGGCAATATAAAGTGTTTATCTTTAGAGACCCCCATAGTGCCATAAAGCTTATGATTTCTTCTTAAGGAATGAATTCTAAGTACTGACGTGAGTAAAACACACTGCTCTCAGCTGGTGTAACTACTCAATTTCCTCCCCTCCTTCCCCCCCAAAAATGAAGGCCCCCCCAAAAATGAAAGTCAAGAATCCCCTAATGTTGAGTATAACTTATAAATCTAATTTATCATCGTCACAATGTGCTTTTTAAACAGATCGTGTTTCTATGTTGCCTCTTGAGCAGATAATACAGGTTAATTTGTTTTATTTGTGAACTTAGAGGTAAATTGTAAGATCTTCAAATGTTTGGAACATAAAATGATTAGGTTGGGTTGTTTTTTGTTTTTTGTCTTTTGTTTTTTCTTTCATGTGTGCCAGCTTGGGGGTAGAGAATCCTTCCTGTAATTGAACTTAACTGCTTTTAACTTTCGCCGCCTTCTGAAGTTCATGTCTCACACCCTTTCGAGCTGAACGTGCACTCTGCGCAGTGAGCTAACATTCCACAATTATCCTGGGAGCCTGAGACAGTTTCCAACTGGTGAATCATCCGGTCTGGAGAACGCTCTGACTGTGAGAAACGGTTAGGACTGTCTCTCGAGTAAACAGACATGGGAAAGTTAAGAAATGAAGGCGAGAGAGAAAATAAATAAATAAACAGAGGAACATACCTGAGGAGGTGTGGAGGCAGACTTGAGCACATACAAGGGTTTTTATAAACTTCACACAGAGGACAAAACAAAAATTCAAATTACAGATTATGTTTTCTGCTTACTGTTTTTTTTTTTCTACTTTTTGTAAAAGATGCTTGAAATTTAGGGTCAAATTCCAGGGAAGTGAGACTCCCCTTAGGGTAAAAGCACATTTCCTGGATGAGGACAGGCTCAGGGCTTGATCAAAAGCACCCACTGCTCTTTCAGAGGACCCAGGTTCAGTTCCCAGCACCCATGTGGGGCAGCTCACAACCACCTGTAACACCAGCACAAGATTTGATTACTTCTTCTGCTTCTACAGGTAGTTGCATACACAACTAGATAAATAGATAATAACATAAATGTCAGAAAGAACCTATTTTAAAAGCAAGCAAATGTGATGTTATTTTCTTGGTTTAACAGTATGATGTGAAGGAATAAAGCTGATTTAAGGTTTCATAATTTTTTTACTGACATTTAACATAAAAAATAGTTTTGTCCTTTAAGAATGATCCATTTTCTCCTTTATCTTTTAGACTAAGCAAACTTTTAATTATGTGGGAAGCATGTGTCCAAAATCTTAATGTTCATGTAGAGAAAGTACACACACTCATGAACACCTCTCACATCCAGATGTCAATGTGACGGGTATATACAGCTACCATGCAAGCTTGAGGACTGAATTCAGATCCCCAGAACCCAAGTTCATCTTCTCTGTGCACATCCCCTTTGGTGGCCTTTCCACCCACTCTTGAGTTGCTTCTTTCTTACTATCTGAAGGATTTCCTACATTGCGGATATGAGTCCGTTGGCAGACAATTGTTTCAAAGCACTTTCTCGATCTACGACTATGTCTTTTGACAAGCAGAGGACTTATATTGTTTTAATGACTGTATGACTGTTACCTTACATGACTGATTCTTGTCTTTAACAAGTTTGCCTCCTAAAGTAGGAAGAGTGTTCAGCTGTAATTTTTCTGCTCAGTTCCAGTAGGAAACCTGTCTGTTCTTATACTGGTATCATATTCTCTCAGTTACTTTGCAGTATCTGCATAAATCTTGATGTCAGAAGTATAAACACTTCATGTTTATTCTGCATCAAGGTTGTCCTTTCTATTCCTTGCCTTTTGTATTTTTATGTGAACCTTATAAAGATCTTACCAACCTAACCTCCTAAAAAAAAGTCTAGAATTTCACTATAACATTGACTTCATAAATTCAGCAGAAGTTGGAACATTAAGGATTGAATCTTCTAGTCCATAGGCATGCTGTTTATTTTGGATCTTTTTCAACTGTTCTCAATGATATTTAAAAGTTACCACATAGCAACATTGTATTGCACAGCAACGTCCGTTTTTTATGGTTCTCATAACAACAATAAGTTGTAGCTGAGTGCTCAGGCCATCTTCATGCTTAATGATTCATTAGGTGAACTCCAGGGAAGAAAAGTACATGGTCATTGCTATGGTCACAGTTTGAAATTAAAAATGAATACAATATAAACTCAAGCAGATGAAACAATCAAGGGGCTAGCAATCTCTGAGAGGACTCTCACAAGACTTGAACATCGAGGACACACTCAAAGTATGTGCAACAGGGAAACTCACTAAAGAGTCAGCAACCACTGTATATCAGTCTCAATACATAGTGTACACATGGATTATAGTAGTGTATGCATCAATTGCAATAGTGTATGCATGGATTACAGTAGTGCATGAATAGATTACAAACGTCTGTGTATGTATCACAACAGTTCATGCATAGATTACAGTAGTGCATGCATAGATTACAAACATCTGTGTATGTATCACAACAGTTCATGCATGGATTACAATAGTGCACATATAGATTATAATAGTACATATATGGATTACAGTACTACATGCACGGATTCCAGTGGCACATGCGTAGATTACAATAATGTATGTGTGCATTGTGGTAGTTCCCGTATGTTTTGACAGCGTATGCATTCAGTCTCAGACTTTCTACGCACCTGCTGGCTTTCTTTCAGTAGAAATTTTGATGTCTTCAGATGGATAAAAATAGAGCATAATTATTTCATCCAACTGTCATTTCCTGTGGGCTTTGGATGCAGGATATAGTATGGAAAGGGTCAAATATTTCCTCTTCTAAACTTGCTGAAAAGAAAAGAGCGCAATAGACACGCAGAAGCCTCTGAAAAGCAAGCCCTCTGCACATCACCCTGGGCCACACACAGCTGAGCACCTTCTGAACCTTCTGAATTCGGTTTACAACTCAGTTTTCTCATTCCAACCCAGATTGAGAATGCCTGTTCCTAAAAAAATCTCTCTCTCTCTCTCTCTCTCTCTCTCTCTCTCTCTCTCTCTCTCTCTCTCTCTCTCTCTCTCTCTGTGTGTGTGTGTGTGTGTCTCTCTCTGTCTCTCCCTCTCCCCCTCCCCCCCTCTCTCTCTCTCTCTCTCTCTCTCTCTCTCTCTCTCTCTCTGTGTGTGTGTCCACATGTAGGGACCTCACTGGCCTGTCACTCACCAGTTAGACTAGCTGACCAGTAAGTCACAAGGACCTGTCTGGCCCCAGCTCCCAGTACCAGGTTTTATGAAGTTGTGGGTCCATCTCCTGTAGCTGCTTTCCTTTTCAACTTCTTTTTACTCTTTGGGGGCCTGCCACACACATCCCAAATAAATACATGGAGACTTTCTCTTTCTTACGAATGACTTTGCATGGCTTATTTCTAGACAGCTTTTCTTAACTTATCCCATCTACCTTGTGCCTCTGGGTTGTTCCCTTTCTCTATTTCTGTCTATCTTTTCTTTACTGCTTATTCTGTGTCTGGCTTGTGACTGGGTGCCTGGGCCCTGATGTATTTCTCTCCTTTTCTCATTCTCTCTCTCTCTCTCTCTTTCTCCTATTTATTCTCTCTGCCTGGCAGCCCCATCTATCCCTCTCCTGCCTAGCTATTGGCCATTCAGCTTTTTATTAGCCCAATCAGGTGTTTAGGCAGGCAAAGTAACACAGCTTCATAGAGTTAAATAAATGCCACCTAAAAAATGCAACACATCTTTGCAACATTAAACAAGCATTCTATGGCATAAATGAATGTAACATGTCTTCAACTAATATTCCACAACAATCTCCCAACCGGATCAGCATTTTTTCACCTACACCCTCTTATTGTCAACTCTTTACCATCATCTTATTCTTTGTTGCTGTGAAAAACAAAAACAAACAAAAAACAGGATGCTTCAAGCAGCTGCCTTAGGAATGTCAAAAGCCATCACTATTCTCTAGCTCCCTTCCCCTGCCTTTCTCCATAATGGTCTTCTTTCATTCTCATACCCCCCAAAAATGATCTCTCAGGCTGAACATCTGGCCACAAAAATCTCCTGTACTCCAGCATTGGAATACTCAACTCCTTAGTCTCTCAAAAAAGAAAACATAATAATCCATCAATAGTGTGTATAATTGTCCAGTGTAAAGTTGGCCCTATAGAAGCTACCAGAATGAATGGTGGGGGGTGGCTGGATGGGAACCCTAAGCTGGGCCTGTGGTCACCTGTGAATCTCACAACCCAGGTTTCAAGAGCACCCTGGTCACAACCACCTCTTGCTTTTTCACACACTAACCACCAATGGGAAAGAGAGTTCTTCCTGTGATCTGGCTTCTTAAGAACCCGACTTGGCCAGGCATGGTAGCATGCTCCTGCAACAGAAGAACTCGGGAGGCTTAGGCAAGGGGCTCCCTAGAAGTTTCAGGTTGGCCTGGCTACATAGAGTGACTATCTCAAAACAAGGAACTGAAAATGACCGGTGGGAGTTTTAAGAGCCTAAAGAGACATACCCTTTGAGGAATTGTCAATGTTGCCTGGCAGAGAACTCCTGCCAAATTTCACCACAGGTTTCAGATATCACTAGTTCTTGTGCTGCATGTGTTGGTGTTATTAAAAAAGAATCCTAGACAACCAAGTGATGGTAGGCAGATCTCTATGAGTTCTAGGGCAGCCTGGTCTACAGAGTGAGTTCCAGGACAGCCAGAGCTATGTAGTGAGACCTTGTCTCAAAAAAGAAATAGGGAATCCTACAAGGGAACCTTTCTGTGATTCTACCCCCCACCCCCACTCCCACTCCCTGACCCCAATTCCCCCTCCACCCTACCCTCTGCCCCCCACACCCCCCCAAAGTCTACCTCAAAAAATCTATCCAATCTCAGAAACCTGTTCTCCTCACATTTATATTAGTTGTCAGAGTTTGGGTACCCATGAACGTTCAAGGCTGCTGCCCCCCTCAGGTTTGCTGGAAGGCACATCTGAGTTAGGCTGCGGCCTTCAGCCTCCCTGTAAGAGCAGCCTTGTCTCTGTGTATGGATGAAGCTCCTTAAAATGATTGATCATATACTTGGAAGGCAGAGGCAGGAGGGTCAGGCATGCAAAGCCATCCTTCTCTACTTAGTTCTGGGATAGCCTGCTTTTTAAAAGAAAAGTAAAATCACACAGCACAGAGGGGACACTGCCCCTTCCTTCGAGGATGGCCAATGAGGAGGGAGAAGAGAGCTCCATGTCCAGCAGACAGAGTCTTGGAAGAGGCAATAATCTGGCTGGCAAGAGAATGTTTTATCTTATTTTCCCCCATTCTGCCTACCTAAGACCCCTGAAGTCCTTGCTTAGTGTCTCCCTAGAGGTTAATCCCATGTGAGAGAAGCTTGAAGAAGCTTATGACTCTGCTGGAGGTCTGGAAGGAAGCCTTTCCCCAGGGGGCCCTCTGGTCGGTTCTCCAGGTAAACTGTTTAAAACTTAATCCTTGTTGCCCAATTCCCTGCTCAACACACCCAAAGTCATTTTGATGAAAATTCCAATGTCCAAGCCAAGGGGATAGGATGGCCCTTAATCCTTCAGCAGGACAGTCATTTGATCCCTGGAAGTGTTGGAGAGTCTGAGATGTCTGCAGAGCACAGTTCCACAGGCAGGAGGAGGAGGAGAAAAGCTAGCCCTTGTTTCTAAGTTGACTCCATGAAGAGCCTTCTCCCTGTCACCTGCCCGCTGTCGAAGCTGCTCATTGGCATCAAGTCCCCTAACTCACTGTTACTTCATTGTTACACATTGTATTGGGAAAGCTGGATGGGTCTGTGGTTGACGCCTTGCTTTTGCTCTGTCAGAGATCTTGGCTGTGTGTGGAAGGCTTAGCTTACCTTCTGTGCACTCTCCTACCTTCCGCTTGGCTCCTCATTTAAATGCTGAAAAGCTGTGTTATGGAATGAAATGGGAAATGAATGAAACAACTCGGTGATTTTAATTTTCTTACTTGTTTTTATTTTCCATCTGACTTCCTGACTGACTGAAGAAAGGGCTGCTCACCAAATGTCTGAGTGCTTGGGGAATCTCTGCGCCCTGGGTCAGAAACCTACACATTCCAAGCCACTCAAGGCCTAATCATTGGTCTTACTTATCCCTGGCTCATGACCATGGCAACCCCAGCTTCCTGTCACACCGAATCTGGAAGCACTGATGGCCTGCCTAACCGATCTGCTGCCAGCCCCCAGCAAATTTGCCCAGCTGCTTTGGCTCTGGCTCTGAGATTAAAAGGTGTGCTTTATTCATAATGGTCTGACAGAGGTGTGGCTTCTCCATGCTCAGTGTGGGGCAGATCCCTGGCCTTTCAGGTGCTATGGGTGAGTGCATCGAGGGCTATCAGCCTATGGCTACAAACTCCCACGTGCTATTTAGCATTGATATGTTAGGTGGCCCATCTGGATCTTTGATTTCTTTATGGTACTTTGAAGTTCCAGTTCCATAAATCCAAAAGCCTTTTGGGGGACACTAATATTGTTTGAATCATAAATGTTCACCAATGGCCCCTAAGCTAAAGGCTTGGTCTGTCGAGCCTGGAGGAGGAGGGACCCAGTGGTGAGAAGCTAGGGCATTGTGGGCAGGTCACTGAGTGTGACTTTAGGATCCCAGTCCCAGCTTCCCTCCTCCCCTCTGTCCTTGCCTGGCCACCATGAGATCAGCATCCGCCTCTCCCCACGTTTCATCCCTTGTTGCCTCTCAACACAGGCCCAATGAATCAGGGCCAAGAAACTATGGCTGAAACTACCCACCAAATGTATCTCTATTTCTCTTTGCTGATTCACCTCAGGTATTTTTTGACAGAACTACAGAAAGCTGACTATTGTGTCCTATGCTCAGGTGTCAGGAGTGTAACCTATAACTTATCCCCTCTTCTTTGTGAGAGGAAGAAATCACTAAATCACTCAAAGTCACAGAGACCTCTGACACTTGCCTGGATGGACAAACACATTCAACAGAAACCTGTTGCCTTCTCAAAGTCTGGGCAGACCCAAGTGCTGAATGCAGAAAATATATCATTCTCTCTCATACCCACTGAAGGGTAGACTTCAATGTCCAGCAGCTGCCATTCCCAGTTCTCCAATGAAGACTAAGGAAACACAATTCACCTACCTGTCTTGAGTCTTCCCCAAGCCTCCACAGACAGCACCATAGTGGACACGAGATGTCTATGCGGCCAATTTACTGAAGTCTGCATTCAACAAACAAGCTGGTGTTGTAGTCCTCCCTGACTCCAGCCCACACTCTGCTCTTGGTGGCTGTGCTGTCTCAGGGATCCTCTGCTGCCACCTTGTAACTCAGAACTTGGAACTCCATCACAGGTAGGGCAGGGAAAGGGACACCTGTCTTTGTTCATTCCAATGAGACGAGTCTTCGACACAAAGGCCATCACCTGTCACCAGCTAAAGGAAACAAGAAGTAGCTATAATCAGTTGATTTTCAAAAAAATTGCTTTTGTTGCTGGGTGGTGGTGGTAGCACATCCCTTTAATCCCAGCACTCAGGAAGCAGAGGCAGGTGGATCTCTGTGAGTTCGAGATCAGCCTGGTCTACAAGAGCTAGTTCCAGGACAGGCACCAAAGCCATGGAGAAACCCTGTCTTGAAAAACAAAAAACAAACAAAAAACTGTTTTTGTTGCTCTTGAAGACGATGATGTTTGTTAATCTGATGGAGTAAAAAAAAAACACCTGGCCTACATCCCAGCCCTAATTTTTCATTTTAATTTTCACCTTTTTTTTTTTACATAGATTCTTGTGTATCCCAGGCTGGCCACAGACTAACTGTGGATGTGTTAAGAGAAGCTTTTTCCTTGCTAGCCGCTTTGGTTTATCCCCCGCCAGTCGCCTGGGCTCTGCCGCGCCAGCCTGTTTCGAGATCCGCATGAGTCCCAAATAAACACACAGGAGGCTATATTAATTATGAAGCTGTTGGCCTTGCTTGTCCCTTACTGGCTAGCTCTGCCTTAAGTAATTACCCCATAATTGTTAATCTAAGTATGTCTCTTACCGGAGAGGTTTCCAGGCTTCCTACCCCAATCGCGGTTACATCTCGAACTCTCTTGTCTTTTTCTTTCCCAGAATCCTCCTCGACTCCTAGTCCCTCCTATCTAGGTTTTCTATAGGCTCAACAGTACTTTATTGACAAATAACAGGACTTCCCCAACATGGATGAGCTTGAATATTTGGACCATCCAGCCTCCACTTTCCAACTGCTAGAATCGCAGTGGTGTGTCACCACACTTGGATTCTGTGTGGTGCTGTGGTAGGATCCAGGACTTCATGCATACTACGTGGGTGTTCTACCAGCTGTGTTGGGCGTAGGACCCAGGACTCCGTACATGCTAGGCTGGCGCATGTCAGACCAGCCCACTTTGCCCCTAGAGCACAGCTTCTTGTCTAAAAAGGAGTCGGCTAGGAAAGAGGGATTGTAAAGAGGCTTCTTCATTCCACCATCCACGAGATTGCCGTGGAGGAGAGAGGAACATGAAGCTGTCCTGGGATACAGGGGACCACACAGTGGCTCAGGTGAGGACAAGGGAAGTAGAGCCCCTGGCTCAGCCAAGGATCACCAGGTGCGGGATGCACTGAGAAATGCCAGAGCCTGGTCCTCATCCCAGCACCAGGTGACCTGCAGTGGTGCTGATGGTGGAGAAGCCACCAAGCAGTTTCCCCAGCATCTCTATAAATGCATTCAGCTTCTGTCCATCTATCTCAGAGGCCGTGTGTGTGATAACAAGATGCATATATGTGAAGCCCTATTAAAGGGCATGTGCAGGTCGGAACTTTTGTCCTAGGCTGATAATCTCTTGCCTGTTTATTGCCATCTGGGGTCAAGGGTTCACCCCCTGTGCCTTTGAACACGTTTGTTTCCCGTCTGCTTTTCAATAGGCCTGTACACTGCAATGCCAGCATTCTAAAATCTACATGCCTTAGCGAGTAGATTTTAGTGAGGCACTGTGTTGTCACCTGCAGCTGGGATAGTCACACTCATTTTCCACCCAGCAGTCTTGTGTAGTGTGAAAAGAAGATGCTTCTCTCAAGAAAGCAATTGCAATCCCGTCTTTCATCAGCGGCCCCTCTTCACCAGAAAAGAAAAGGAAAGAAAAGAAAAGAAAAAGCTGACAGCCAGGGCCAAAGTAGGGCCGGCTGTGGCTGCAGGGAGGTGACCGTGGGCAGGGGGCTGTGGGAGAATGCCAACAGTGACATCTGACCACAGTTGATAATTTTTTCTGAAACCCAGGGACTAGAAGCCTACAGATACGGAGTCACATTTGAAATTAATGTTTTTATGAAATCCACACAAGGAGGTAGAACATTTTTAGACACTTGGAAGAAAATAACCCCAGGCATGATGGCAGCCTAGTTATCCTAGCATTTCAGAGGTGGTGGCAGGAGGATCCAGAATGCACAGTCACTCTTGATCACATGGCAAGATGGAGGCTATCTTGGGCAACATCAGAAGATCCCATCTCAGAAAAACAAAACAGGAATAGAGAAGCAACTGCTATATTCCCTGATGTATTAATGTGACTCTTAAAGTCTTAAAGTTCCAAGGCCCAACCCTTCTTTCCCCTTTCAGGAACGCCAGAGTCTAGAGTTTGCTTCAGAAAGAATCAGCAGCTGTCTTTGCTGTGAAAGATGGAAGTATGTCCCCAGTGATACTGAAAATACGAGAGAAGCCACCGAGCCCTCCTCGACCAGGTGTGCCACAGCTCAGGCAGCCACTGACATCATCAAGTTGAGGGCAGACTGAGCAAGGCACCGGAAACCCATGATCATCTGTAGGCCGCTGAAGCAACACGACCCTGCTGCACATTCCAGGAAGCCCGAAAATTAAAGCCCTGATAAGATAACCAGGTAATTAATGAAGCAATTTCCCTTACCGCTCTCATGCCTGTGTTTACTTTTTAGTATAAATTATCCTCTTAAGCAATGTGTAGGCTCTCTTTCTGTAACCTTTGAGATTCAGCCCCATAGAGCAAGAGGGCCCATACTTCTGTGTGTGCATTTTTCAGTTTTTAGCTTACATATATAAGTACACAACATACATACATATATATACACACATACAGACACGCACATATACAAATACACATGCACAGTACAAAAACACACATATACATACACAAATATATACTTACAAAAACACATATGTACATAGTCATACATGTATGCTTACATTATATATACACACAGACATAAACATATACATATACAAATGCATCCAAACACGCATACACATGCACATAGAAGCACATGGACACACATATACACACACAGACACACACATGCACATACACAGACACACATGAATGCACAGTGAGAGCATAGCCAATGTTCTTGATTGCCCTTTTCTCCTGTATCATTTCTAATGAGCATGCAACATTATATGCTGCTGGCTGTTGGATTAAAAGCATTCTTGTTCATTTTATTACCTCATAAGGTAAATTATTTATGCAGCCAGACGCGCAATCAGTTGGCTCAGAATTCCAGGTTGGGCAAAGTTATCAGTGAGGCACTGGTCAGGGTCAGACACTAAGAAATACACTTCCTGCCAGTCTGCTCCCTTCTGGTTCCTAACCCTGAAAGGTCTTTACAACTAGTGATTCTTGGGCCTCGTAAGAAAACTCAGGTACACCAAACTGCACGTAGTCCCAGAGAGAACAATCTCAGGAGGCATGGGAGGGCAGGCAGCGTGGTAGCAGGGGTTGTAGTCTGAGTGACACAGTCATCTTTGGAACTATGAGCTGGACAGAGCATCGTTTCCTAATGAGATCATAGCAACAGGCCTCATCCCAATCACAGCTGTAAAGAATGAACAGGAAAGTATGCCCCATCCAGACTCTTAGCTTAAGGATTTGACTGTGAGCAAATCCCCAGATCATCAAAGTTCCAGGGCTTTGCTCTCTAATGTTCTTGGTGGAACAACTATCAGCCTGAACGGCCTGAGACCTCTGGAGATATATGCCACTCTACATTGGTAGAATGGATGGAAATGAACAGTCTGGATCCCAGCAGTTGCCTTTTGTGCACAGAGTGCTAATTCCACTTCACCATATGGCCAGAATGATGCCATTTCTTATGGTCAAAAACCCATACATGAAACAATACAGAGAAACCCTGTCTCGTAAAAACCAAAAAAAAAAAAAAAAACCCATACATGTATGTCTCCATGAATGTATGTTTGCTTATGTGTCTGGTATGTCCTGTGTGTCTATGTCTTTGTGTGTCTCTGTGCATATCTGTGTGTTATGGTCTGTGTTTATGTGTATATGTCTGCAATAAATGTCTTATTCCATTATTTCTTCTCTCACTTTCACAAAACACAATAAATTTGCTTCAACTCCTAACCAGACCACAGGATTATCTACATTAAACTATACAAGTGGCAGCATGACTACCCATGCACTTGATTCTGAGTGGAACGGACTTAATGGTAAGCTACTAGCCAATCAAAAAGATTCATAGGCAATCAGAACTGTCAGAAAGCAAAAGAAGGGGCTGGAAAGCGTGCTCAGTGGTTAGGAGCACTGGCAGCTAATCCAGGTGTCCCAGGTTTAATTCCCAGCACCCACGTGGTGGCTCACAACCATCTGTTACTCTGCATGCATGGGATCCGACACTTTCTTCTGGTTTTCATGGTAACAGGCACACATGTGGTGCATAGACACACTTGCAGGCAAAAATAAAAGGAGAAAAACAGCAAGAACGATGGGGAAGGGGGAGAAAACACATGGAGGAAAAGAAGATGTGAAAACACTCCTTTGAACTAAGGCATGATCAGGAGTTTGGGGGGTGATGCCTGAACCCATTAGAGCAAATTTGCCCCAATTTCCTCTACTATTGTGGCACGTGTCCACCTACTGTGTGAGCCCTGTGTCCACCTACTATGTGAACCCTCTGCCCCCTTTCCAGGAGAGTGTGAGCATGAGGGCTGGCCTCTGGCTGGGCAGTTTAGTGAAATGGGCATTCAACTCGGGCTGGCTATCAGCTTCCACGGCAGCTGGACACTTCTACTTCCTCCACCTATTGTTTGATATTTCCAACTCATTCATAAACCTTTTAAAATTCCCTCTGCGTAAGTATCCATTAGAAGGGGAACAGCCTAACCATTCTGAAAAATCACCACTTTTCCATTTAAATTTCCATTTCTATTCCAGCCAGTTTGGGGCTTGATAGCTTTTTAGGAAGAACTCTGAGGACACAGCTATGTTTTCTTCTTTTAGGTCTTCGTGGTGTCCAATTCAGCTCTGCACACAAAACAAATAATGCATACGGTTGCCTTTTAAATGAATAAGGGTGTCTGTAATCTCAAGATTTGGGAGGTTGAGGCAGGAGGATAATGAACTTGAACCCAACATGGGCTACATAGCTAGATCCTGTCTCCTAAAATACTAATAGTA